CAAAATTACTAAAAATAGTCAAAAAATAAATATAAAAAAAACATTCAATGATACAACATATTAACAAGACCACACAAAAATAAAATAATAATTGTGTAAACCTCTCTAGTCTAGATTGAAACCACAATGAGGCTAAACATATCAAATACCATAAAACCAATAAAACAGTTGATATTCAAAGAATACATCAAAATCTAATATTAAGAAAGAAGAATCAAAAGCACATAACACTAAAAAGATCACACAAACTTAACAAATTGTATTACAGATTCTTAGCACAATATGATGAAAACAAGATCAAAAACTTAAAGAAAATATATTAAAATACAATAAACAAAATCAAGATTAAATAAATAAAATAATAAAAAAGAAAAAACATAAAGATTCAATATGAATGAAATTACCTTTAGTGCCTATACTACTTCTTGTATATCTTTTCTCTATTAACAACAAAAGGTGATAAAAAATAATCACTGACAGAGTATCAAGCCAAAATTAAATTAATTTTTGATAAAGAAGAATTGATATACACATTTATTAAGGAAAATACAACTTTTGGTCTTTCCTCTTCATTGTAACTATTTCCCAAAAGAATTTGAACCATTGTGTCTAGAGGCATGAATTTAAATACAAAAATAATATTTAATATCAAATTAATTATATATTAATATTTATTTAGTTTAGAGATAAAATAAGGGTAAAATAGTAATTCAACTTTTAAGTTGGGAGCTTCCCACTCATAATAATACTAGTCTTCGGGCACGTGCGTTGCACGTGTATCTCAAATAAAAATCAATAAAAAAAATAAATGAAAAAGTATGTAATAAACCATTAGGAGAACATGATGTTTTTTTCGGGTGTTCTCTCGATATTTTCGATCTACTGCACATTAGATAAGTCTCCAAAGCTTACCCATTTATAAGCAATTAAATGTACAGACAATCATCAACAAGTAAAATTTCCAAGAAAGACACATCAAGTTAAAGAATTAAAAAGGGAAAATGTGACGTTACTTAAAGTCTTCTTGTATCTTTAATGTGTGTCGTTACAAATGTAACTACTTCCTTAAAAACTTTCAGATATACCCAGACTTACATTTACAGGCTTACAACTACTATCCATCACTGTTAGAGAAGACTTGGAGTTGCTACATTTGTTGAAGAAAATGTGATATATTTTGCTAGCAAACAACTGCAATTTCAATTTATTATTAATAGTTTAAAAGTTAATATCATGGTTTCTTGGGAAAAGTGTCTGATATACCCTCAACTTTGTCATTTAGAGCTGATATACCCCTTGTTATGAAAGTGGCTCATATATACCCCTACTTGTAAATAAATGGCTCGCATATACCCTTTTTTCTCTAACGGAAATGAAAAAAATAATTTTTATTTTTATTTTTATTATTTTTTTCTAAAAAATATAATTCTATATGAGTAAATTTAATCCTCGTCAAACATATTTTTTTTACTTTTTTTGTTTCAATGACTAATTTATAATTATTATTTTGAATCAAATTTATTTATGTTTCACTAATATTCTTGTAAAACTTATTGTAGATGACCAAATCTTTTCTTCAATACGAAATTAAATTACAATACACACAAAAAATAGTTTAATTTTTTTCTTTAAACTAAGGAATGTTAGAAAAAAATAAAATAAGAATAAGAAACTCAAATAATTATAATAAAAGAAGTCAAAAAAATAATTTATGTATGAAAAAAATTAAAATATACCTTGAACTTTGATAGAAGAATCATATATACTCCTAAATATTTTTTTAAAAAAAATTAGAACTAATAATATAAATTTAAAACTAATTTTTTAACTTCTGTTAAATGAAGGGTATATGTATGTCATTTTGTAACGGCAGGGGTATATGTGAGCCGTTTGTATAACGTTAAGGGCATATATGAGCCACTTTTACAATGAGGGGTATATCAGCTCCAAATGACAAAGTTGAGGGGTATATCAGACCCTTTTCCCTGGTTTCTTTTTCTGCGGAAAACTATGCATAGAGAGTTTCAAAGAGAGTTGATCATCATTCAGCATCAAACCATATGTGTATAACAACATTCAATTTTTGATATGTACGATTATACCTTTCAAGCTTTTTATTTTACCTATTAAAAAAATTAGAAAGTTATCATTCAAATGAAGTTAGCAAATCAAACGGAAAAATCTAGACTTAATAAGATTGTACCTGAAAATTAGAAGACACTTTTGTACCCACTGAACAATGGAAGCTTGTGTTGAATGACTAATATTGAGTATGTTTATATAGTGTAGTCTTGAAGATTTGTTGATAAAAACTCTTTTATTCCTCATACTTAATTTGATTCCTTTCAACTTCTCATAATTAGCAAAATACGTTTCAACTTCTATATTAATTGAAACTTTATTAGTGTTCATCCTATTTGTTTCTCACATAGTAATTGAATAGGTTGTTGAACTTCTCATTTTGCTCCTCTATTATGTAATTCAAATATTACTATTTAATTAGATATTTAATTTATATTTGGGTAAAGTATTTTATGACTTTTTAATTTATTATAGGGGCAAAATAGTAATTCAACTTTACAGTTTAGAGTTTCATGCTTATAATAATATATGATATGATGCTTATGTTATTATGAATAAGTGATAGTATAGTGTTTTAGTTTTAATTACTGATAGATTTAAAATATTATTTTATAAAATTTGTGGCCATTATGAAAGGTTCTAACTTTTTCAAAACTTGTGACCTTTTTGATAAGACACAATAAATATTTATTCACACTACCTTTTGTTGTTTATAAATAAGCATTTATTCTATTATTACAGAATCTGGTATATTTTTTACAATCATTAATTTATGCTTATGTTATTAATTTCTATTTTTGAGTACATGTTTTAATCTTTGTTGTTTATATTTATGCTTCTGTTTATTTTGTTGAAATATGTTAATCAAGAGTTTTATGTAATCATTAGACTATTGGTGTCATGTAGATTATAATTCTTTAACTTTTAAAATGAATGACTTTAATGTTTTCAATGGCTAAAAGACAATGGGGTGTCCAAGAATGGACTTTTGACTCTTCAAAGTTATGGTGATTTCACACTATCTTAGAGTTTTAGTTATTCAACTTTCTATCTTATCAAGACATTCAATTGATTAGTTACATTTTAAAATAAAGGAATGCGACGGGATGTTAAGTATTGTACTCAACCTTAATAAAAAAATTCCTTTCAAATGGTTGGTTAGAGTCAATGAACTACTCCTCAAAGTAGGATGAATCCATAATAGTGAAATATTAAGGAAATAATTATATCCTTATAGATATCAGATTAAAGTCGTAAAAAATAAAGTTTTAACCTTACTGATCGAAACATAAATAAGAAAATATGCCTTTTGATATCAAAGTAGTGTCATCGACTATGAATAATTTTGAATAAGGGACTTGCCAAGACATCATTTAATCCAAATTATTTGAGCGAAATATGTTATTTCATTGAACTCCAAAAGATATCCTTTTAAATAATAATTAACTTATCAAGTACACAACTAATAATATAAGATGTATAATATTTATATTTTATATGTAGAGGTCTTTAATAGGAAAAAAACTATCGTTATTGATGAATAAAATGTTTATACCAATTTTTTAAAATACAAATATATTATAGACAATAAAACAATCATATATATTTTTCAAAGACTTTGGTGATGAGTAACTACAATAAAATGATAAATTAATAACAAAATACATAAAAATTTAGAATCAAATCTTTTTGGTTTTAAGATTAAAAAATAATTCATTTCATCTTTGGATAAAACATTCTTGACAATTTATTGTAGGGTTGTACCTACTCAAAAACACTTATATTATCAAATGTTTGTAAATACATTATTGACGTAGTTCACCATTGTGCGAAGCGCAGTCAATTTACCTAGTTTAAATTAATTTCTAAATACCTCAATTTTAATTTATGGTCATGTGTTCTCTTCTTTTTTCCTTTCTTTTCTCTTTCTGTTGGGTGTGTGGTTGTATAATCATTCTACACTTAATAAATGATGCGGAAATATTGTGGATTAACTAGCACACAATCACAAACAAAGAAAATAGAGAAGAAGAATAACACAAGATTTAATGAAATTCGACTAGTCCTACTCCTCTAAGGAAAAATAGAGAGAGTTCTCCACTAAAAAAGAAAAAGAACATGTTTTACAATGCTTTAGAATCCTCAACTACGTACATACCCTATATAAAGATGTCAAGTAGTCCCAAACCTATAAGGTCAATGTTTTCTAAATCCGGACATTATTTTCCTTTTCAAATCTATTACGAAAAGAAAGGATTGTTCACTTTCTTCTTTCAATAATTAAAGATAGATAATGTATTATTATTGCAGAAACATGACACATAAAGAAGACAACCATCACCTCCATAAGTTAATGAGGTCCATAAGTTAATGAGGACTATTAGTAGATCTTATGGTATCTACAAAATTGTTTTTTGATGATGCTTCTGCTACATGAGCACTATCAATAAATGGAAGCATGCAAGAATAGGTGACATATTTGACACTATCAATAAGCACAACAATGAATATTCGAGAGACAGACTTTGTACGCATGATTCCATCACCATCACCATCACCATCAACCAGAACGGACACTACCAAGGAAGAAAGTGAATTGTTCCTGTTGGGATTCTCTTGCTTTCCATTTGTTCCAGTTTGTTCTTTAGAAATGTTGTGAGAGGGTCTAGAAAGGGAAACTGGAGGACCATTGAGGATCCTTCTATTTCTGTGAAGACATGTGTCGTTATGCCTTTGTTCCATAGATGTATCTCTAACATTGGTAACAGGAACTACGGCTTCTCGAGCAGAAGATGATGCATCAAACTGGAACACTTCTGTACACATGCCTGAACTCAACAAAGGTCCTGCCCAGATGAACACAAAAAAAAAAATTAAAATACTAGAAAGTAGAAGACTTCTCCAAACCATAAATTTACTTAAAACATATACTATGAGGAGGATACAGTAATGTCAAATTTAGAATTAAGGGACTCAAAGCAATTCAAAATGCCATAATTCTCAAAGCAAACACTCAAAAAAGCAATAGATAACCAGATTTTCCTCCTTCGAAAGTTGTTTAGGGTGTAATAGCTAGAGGAATTCATTTCTATCACAAATATAAGAATTAATAGAGTATTTAAACTTACAAGGGAAAAAAAGACGAAAAACATGAACTCAAATGATGAAGTCCTTAAACTGCTCACACATATCACAAAGATAAGAATTAATAGAGTCAGTCTAAATTGAACAACACTTACCGGCAACACCGTTAAGGTACCACCCCAGTATACTTGACTTTACGTTCTCGTTCTCATCAGATACAAGAGTTATTTGTCCCACTTCAGGACTTCGATAATGGCGAGGATGGACTGTTGGGATAGTAGGGGCCATATCACCAGGAACTGCAAGGCCTGCCTCTTTATTTTTCTTTTCAGCACTTCCAAGAAATGCCATGGCTTTCTCACTTGCCAATACAGAATGAATTATCAAGCTCCCATCAATCTCAACAAGTTTATCATTCCTTGGGACATACAGAGAGGCTACCAAAGGATGACTACTATTTCCCACATGAACAAACTCATCTCCAGTCTTATTGGTATTTTGCTTATTGCTTTCACCCTGACCTCTCTGGCCACAATGTGAGCTATGATTTTTTCCATCATATTTCTCAGAATAACCAGTCCCATTCACGGGCTCGTCAATACTCAAAACTCTTCCATGATGTTTTTCATAAAATCCGCTCACAAAAGACTCTCCACTCATGAATGGTTCCCCCTTGTCTCCATATCTGTCTTTCAATAAAGGAACCAATCCACCAAAGAGCAGGATGAAGAACAACACACCAAGGAAGCTAACACTGGCAACTTTCTTTGTTTTAACCCCACTCTTCTTTTTCTTAACTTCCTTGTTACTTTTCGGCGCGGGTGCTAGTGCCTGTGATTTCAACTTTGGAATGGGAACCAGTGGCACTTGATATCCTTGTCGGTTCATCATATAGTATGGTGTATATGACATCCATGGAGGAGGATAGGGATTAATCCCTAGGGGTGGCGGCACTTGAGTAGGTACACCATTACCTCCAAGTTGTGCTTTTAGAGTTATATTTTCTGTCATTGCATAAGATAAATTTGCATTCAAATGTTGAATTGTTGAATGAAATATTCTGAATTTATTCTCTAACTCCTTAACATAATGCTTTTTTCTTTGCCTTGATAAGTGAGCACTTACCTTGTTCCTAATTTTTCTATCCATCCTCTTTTCGTCAACTCCGCCTTTTACTGAATTATTTCCTAAATTTAGGGGGAAATGTTCCAATTTGTTCGAAATCGGAGCTTTCCCGAGACAATATCCTGAGGTCGAATTGAATGTTCTAGAAGCATCATCAGAAATCCCCATCAGTTGACTCTCAGGTTGACCAAAGCTATGCAGGTTCATTTGACTCGAGTCCAAGCCCAACTCCGACCCGAGAAAGTCTGGCAGAAAACTAGGGTTTTGAAATGCATCATCATTGGTAGGGTTTGGAAAGATATCATTGAATGATTCATAAAGAACTATATCATTAGTCTTGAAATTGAAATTCTGAAATTCCATAGGGAAATCTTCGACATTTTCTTGGTATGTTGCGGTCATGTGTAGGGAGTTAAAAGTACAGTCAAGAGGTTGAACGGCAAGAGCATCGAACTCCCTGATGAAGTTTGTTTCTTCTGCCGGTGGTGGATCGGCTATATCTAGAGATTTTCAGCAATTGGTAAGAGATTTAGAGAGAGAGCATCTAGGAATAAAGAGGAAACTGAGAGTTATTTTTCTTTTATAGTTTTATTTTTCGACATTGTTAAGATTGACCCATTAGTTTTTGTAGATATCCAAGAAATAGAAGTTAACATTCTTGAAGTTTCAAAAATAACTTTGTTAATATTACTATAAGTGGGAAGAGCTTAACCCCAAGTTGAATTATCGTTTTGACCCTACAATATTATTAAATATTGATTTACTTAAAAAATTGCTGATAATCTCAACCTTAATTTAATTCTCCAAAAACATTTAGTTTTTGCTCAGCGTCTCGATCAATGTAACAACCTTTTCCCGACACTCAAGATTAAATGCTTTAATTTTCCACGGATCCAAAACTTTTTCAGATTTTTCACTCATCTATATAAATGTCTAGAGCAACATGTTATTTTCCATTGATCAGTTTCTCTTTTCTGTGCCTCATTCAAATACATCACGTAAACTTTTTTTTTCTTCTCTTTATTTATCAAGAGTTGCTTTGTTTCCTATTTACTTTGAATGTCTTTAGCTAGCTTATTTCGTTATACTCTAGTCTTTATCAGGAGTCACTCAGTTCTTAATAACATTGTTATTTTTGTTATGTCACGAAATTTTTATATCTGTTTATCAATAGTCACTTTGTTTCTCCTGTTTTCTGTTTATTCCTTGGGAAGTTTAGAATTTGGAGTAGGCTGTTCGAACTTTTGCTTATTTTGATTTTGAATTTTTTACATTGTTCAATTTCGCTTATTTTGAGTGACTGGTTTAGAAAGAATTTTCTTTTCTTTGTTTTGTTAGTGTTTGGATTATGAAATTGAGTTATGTGGTGTTTTTTATCATATATTAGTTTAGTGGGTGATTGAAATTTGTTTTTATATTGATTATAAATCAGTAACATAAGCAAAGAATGTGAAAATCATTCTTTTTTTTTGGATTGTTGTAATAAAGATTGCTTATTTTTTGTTTTTATTTATTTTGTTTAGTTTTTTTGGTCTATGAATTGGAGATTTGGGAATTTGAGTTTTGCAGGCATCCTTTACACTAATACTTGCATTAGGATAAATTCACATCACACCTTTTACGGTGAGGACAACCATTATTTTGTTTCTCTAATTGAAAAATACAAATCTTTTCAGTTACAATTAGTAATCAACAGACATCAGGTCAAAGCCACTGCAACTGTAGATGAAGCAGTTTGAAGACTTGTGGGCTTTGCATTCTCTACCTGTCTATCCGCGGCCTCATAAGAGACCTAATGATTCAATTGAATATGCTTACTGTTCATTGAATCGAGCTTGTATTTTACATATCATACATTTATATTTTAGAAGTATTTATACTAATTAGCACGGTATACACGTGTTCCAAAACTAGTATCATATATTATTATAAGCATGAAGCTCTAAAGTGTAAAGTTGAATTACTACTTTGCCCCTATACTAAATTAAAAAGTAATAAAATACTTTACCCAAATATAAATTAAATATCTAATTAAATAGTAATATTGAATTACATAATAGAGGAGCAAAATAAGAAGTTCAACAGTCTATTCAATTACTATGTGTGAAACAACCAAATAGGATGAACACTAATAAAGTTTCAATTAATATAGAAGTTGAAACGTATTTTACTATTTATGAGAAGTTGAAAGGGATCAAATTAAGTAATTGAGGAATATCAAAGAGTTTTTATCAACAAATCTTCAAGACTACACTATATAAACATACTCAATATTAGTCATTCAACACAAGCTTCCATTGTTAAGTGGGTACAAAAATGTCTTCTAATTTTCAGGTACAATCTTATTAAGTCTAGATTTTTCCGTTTGATTTGCTAACTTCATTTGAATGATAACTTTCTAATTTTTTTAATAGGTAAAATAAAAAGCTTGAAAGGTATAATCGTACATATCAAAAATTGAATGTTGTTATACACATATGGTTTGATGCTGAATGATGATCAACTCTCTTTGAAACTCTCTACGCATAGCTTCCCACAGAAAAGAAACCATGTTTAAACCTTTAAACTATTAATAATAAATTGAAATTGCAGCTGTTTGCTAGCAAAATATATCACATTTTCTTCAACAAATGTAGCAACTCCAAGTCTTCTCTAACAGTGATGGATAGTAGTTGTAAGCCTGTAAATGTAAGTCTGGGTATATCTGAAAGTTTTTAAGGAAGTAGTTACATTTGTAACGACACACATTAAGGATACAAGATGATTTTAAGTAACGTCGCATTTCCCTTTTTAATTCTTTAATTTGATGTGTCTTTCTTGGAAATTTTACTTGTTGATGACTATCTGTATATTTAATTGCTTATAAATGGGTAAGCTTTGGAGACTTAACTAATGTGCAGTAGATCGAAAATATCGAGAGAACACTCGAAAAAAACATCATAATTCTCCTAATAGTTTTGTTGTGCGGAATTTGAGATAATACGAGAAAATATAAACGCAAAAAATAAGACAACAGATTTACGTGGTTCACCAATAAATTGGCTACGTCCACGGGAAGAGAGGGAGCAGTTTTATTATGGAGAGGCAAAAACAGAATTACAAAATAGGGTTTGCCATAGCGTCTATATATAGTGCTAAGCTACGCCCTAACAGGCTTGGGCCCAACATACAGAATCAACAGAAAATAAAGGGCCCAAAACAAATCTCCACCTTGACTTGAATTCTCCGAACAGATTCTTCAGACGCACAGGCATTCAA